TATTAATTTCATTCCTGATAGTGAAGCTAACATTTCTTTGGCTCTAGACACTAGACATTTGTTGATGCAATCAAGCTGTAATTGCAACAGTTGAGATGGACTGTATCAGATTGTTATTCCATAAAAGAAAACCTCGCCTGGCTGGCAGGCTCAGTAGTTGAGTGTTGACCTATGAACCAATGTCGGGTTCAATTCCCAGTCAGGGCACATGCCCTGTTGCCCAGGTTTTGGCAGGATCCCCAGTAGGGGGTGTGCAGGAGGCAGCTGATCAATGATTCTCTCTCACCATTGATGTTTCCGTCTCTCTCCCTTTCCTTTCCTCTCTGAAAATAATAAAAAAATAATATATATGTATATTTTTAAAAATCTCTAGGGCTTTTTTGTCCATATCTGCAGTCATTCATATTTTATGTTTCTACTAGAGGCCCGGTGCACGACATTTGTGCACTGGAGAGGCTCCCACCACTGCTGCTGCACTCATCAGCCGTCAGCCCGACTTGTGGCTAAGTAATGCTCCCCCTGTGGGAGCGCACTGACCACCAGGGGGCATCTTCTGCTTTGAGCATCTGCCCCCTGGTGGTCAGTGCACATCATAGCGACTGGCTGCTCCACCGTTCGGTCTATTTGCATATTACCCTTTTATTATATAGGAGAGTTGGATTTTTGGATTGAATTTCTTCTCTGGTAACTTTTATAACTTAAGTTTGATTCATTATCCTATTATATTCAGCATTCCTCCATTGATTGGATGGTTAAGATGGCAATCAAAGTTTATAAATCTATGTCACTGTACCATATATCCAGATCATAATTCAACATAGCCTAGAATTACAGAAATTAACAAGAGCTTGCCAAATCTCTTGGGTTTACTTGATTTCCCTGTCCTGCGATCCTCTAAGAAAATAAAATTTGTTTTGTCATAACTAATTCTTAGAAAGCTTAGTTGCTTTCTAGAGATTACTGCTTCCTTTCTAAGTGCTCTCAAAATATATTTTAATAATGTGATCTAGGCTCTAAAAACAATAAATGCAAAGTGGTTTTCAGTTGCCACAAAGTTCCCATTAAAATTAGGACTCTCTTTCCCCTAGATTTTTAGGCTCCTCCCATTTTTTGCTTCTGAAGTTAGCATTTGTGTTTCATTAATTATGTATCATTTAAAAGTTATCTTACTGTTTTAAGATCACCAGGAGATTTGAGCTCATTCAGAGCCTCCTAGTTCTCTAACAATTATCTTCACCTTTATTAGCCTTACTTCTTTCTTAATAATATTTTAGGATAGAGATAATTTGCTCTGAAAGAGAAACTTGAAATAAAATGACTTGAAGAAGTATGCAGAGAGAAATCAAATTGCATGAAGAGCATGGAAAATGGATGCCTAAGTGTGAGTCTACTTAACAAAAACCTAGTAGCTATGAAGATGATAAGTTGAACAGGTGTGGAATGCTACAGCTGGAGCTGTGACTGAGCCTTGAAATGCACAAAATAACATGAGACCATTTTTTTTAATGCTTAGCCAAGGCAAGATCTCTTTGGGCACTGAATCCAGTTTTTGGCCTCCTCATCAACAGCACTTGTTAAAAAATAAAATTGACACAGCACAAGTGTAAATAAGCATGTGTTTGAACAGTATAACTTCTGATCAGAGGATCAGCCAAGAGAAAATGAAGACCCCCTCCTGTGAGTATTTTTTAGGTTCTGAAGGATGAGCCTGAGATAATGTCAGTGTGTTACATAGTCATTTAGGTTGTCAATCAGTTGAACATGAAAGAGGCCATTCCCACCACCCCTCATATCTCCCGAATATCATGAGCCCTCTGATTATTCATTCAGTCCACAGATATTCTTGGAAGAAATTGTAATGTGCCAGACAGTGTGCTTGGTAGATACTGGAGGCACAAGAAGGCAGATGTGGTTCATGCTCTCAAGAAGTGATGGCGTGTCCCATACAACATGTGCCTCCTGTAGATGGTTAGCAATAGTGACCACAGTTACTTCTCTCCCTATATCCACACCCCTTTGCAATGTGACAGCAGCATCTACCATCCATAGGCAGAGTCTGTTTGCCACCCCTTGAATCTCAAACCTGTGCCCACCGTGCGAACAAGCCTGGGCTAAGCTGCTGGAAGAGGAAGGTCCATGTGGAGCTGGCCATTCTTCCTGTGGGCATCCTCGATCTGCTAGTTGACAACTGATCTAGAAGAACTGTTCAGACCACTGCAGCCCAAATTACTGATCTATAGACTCTCAAACTAAAAAAAATGGTCGCTTTAAGCTACGGAATTTTAGAATGACTTGTTATGCAGCCAAAGCTGACTGACAGCTCTTCACCATGTAAGTATGATTCAGAGTTTATTTTGGGTCCAGAATTTTCTCATATGGCTTATCCAATTACCTTGATAACTGCCAACTCTCCACTTCACTTTGCGCTGTATGGGCATGGTCTCAGTACACAGTTGTCAGAATACAGACACCCTGGGAAGGTTTGATATTGGCTCTCTGATCTGCAGAATATGAAGTTGACTAATGTGCTTGAGATGTGACATATACAGTATATTTCTTGGAGAAAACACAAATACACAAGCAGACACAAACATCTACAACAATACAAACTTCAAACAAGCAGTTAAAAAGTTAATGCAAATCCAGTTAGCTTTGTTTCCTAGCATAATGGCTCAGGATGTTTAAAACTCCCCCCCCCCCCCACACACACAACAACCTGTTTGTCACATTCTGAATTTGAACAACAAATCCACTATGTCCTACAGACAGTCTCTGATTTCTCTTTCAAATAATTTTATTATTTTGATGTATTATTGAAACCCTCACCAAAGGCTGATGTATCCTTCCAGATGTCTGTGTAACTGCCTTGATTCTAATGATCACATTAGTGGCGATTAGCGAAAGGATCTTTGATTTATCTTAATTTTCAAATATGTCAGAGTGTCTTTTCCTCTTTTCCTGGCAGCCGCTCGCTCTTTGTCCGGCTCTCCCAGCTGGGCATTTTGGGAAAGCAGCCAATTCCAGGGCTAATGTGTTTCTGCTGTGATCTGACACTGATGCTGTTTCATGGAGGCAGCAACGGAGATAAGCGCTAATTGGATGCATTTTTAAAGCAAACCTTTTAGTTACTTAGAACAGAGCTTCCCCAATTAGCTTCCTTTCTCCTCTCTCTGGCTATGCAAGAACCACAGTGATGTGAAAACACTGGGTTTGGAAGGGAGTCCAGGGCACTGCCCAGGGCCACTGAAGGACAGTCATGCTGAAGTCAGGGGAAACGCTCCAGCAGGCGGCTGGGGGCTGAATTGCCGGGAGAGCAGGGTGAGTGGAGGATACTGGGAGGATCAGATGTGACAGGAGGCCCAGGCAGTGGGGCAGTGGCCCAGGGTACACTACCGACAGCCACACCCTAAAGTGCCAGAAAGCAGAGGGAAGGTGTGGGTGGGCACGCAAGGAGAAAGAACCAGTGTTTCATAATGGCCATCTTGGTCTCCAATGGAAGTATTTCGCTTCAATGGAACATATTTCAACTTTAGAACTGAGACTTTTAAATTGCATTCTTTAATATGTTATCCCCAGGTTGAAGAAAATCTATTTAAATCCCTGCCCTCTTTAAGTTACTTGCAAGCTTTTGATAGCTGCCCAGAAGGAGAGCTGCTTAGGAAAGGAGGCAGGTTTGAAGGTCTTGATGTGGAAAAAAAAAATAAGAGAAAAGACCCAGGGTAGGAAACCATTTCTTTCTGGCTTTTATTTCTGAGATGGATTCAGAAGTGAGACATAATAAGTTAATTTCCCTTTGGTTGAAAGTGAGTCTGCCATCATTATCTCATCCTCTCTGGGGGTTCCAGTTTCTGTGTTCCTTTCAGCATTATTTAATAGCAGGGGCATGCGGATTAATGACCCCTCTGGGCCACAGGATTGCATCAGTCCCGTGGTCAATTAGAAAGGGTGAATCTGGGTTTGGCTGGGTGGCCGCAGTGGGGACAGTGAGGTGGGCGTGGTGGGGAGACAGCGGAGAGGAGGCAGCTAACTCTCCCTTCCTCTCCTGCTATTCTCTTTCTAGTCCTTGTTATGGAACCATCTGTCCCCATAGGCCCACCCCTGGCCCTAAGAACTTTATCTAAGCTTCTGGCTCAAGAATTTACTCTACAGGAAGTTTGAATTTGAGTTCTGGGTTATAAAATTACACAAGCTGTAAATTTTGGGTGCTGGCACCATTATTTGAAAATTTATTTAATTAACCGCAATAATGACTTGATATGCTTGATTTACTTTAAAGGCCAGACTCCAAATTTTGCAAACCAGTGGCTTCCTAAGCCAATATTTAACTTAGAGATGGATTTTTCTCTTTCCTCCTTTTTGATTCCTCATTTAATTGTAAGATTGTGCGTGAATCTTGAATCTTTCACGCAGGCCATCATCTATACTCTTCTGCACGCAGGAATACATCTTCCAGCAAATCATCCTTCCTCATTTTGTTCTTTCTTTCCTCCTTTGCGGTGACACTGATTTGCTGGGAACATCTTGTACCTGTCACCAGAGTCAGCAAAGTGCTGACCTTTCTCTTTTACCACAGAACCAGAGCAGGCCTGGCTTTTGAGAAGTGACAGGGATATTGGAGTGATCTGCATAAAATACATGACATTGCTGGGGGAAAAGGAGGAGAATTCTAGATCAGGGTCACTTCCACAATATGCTAAGAGTCGTTCATTTTGAAAAGAAGACAAGGCTGTGGAGATAATGATTTTTAGAGGCTTTACAGGTTTCTAGTTGGCAGGTCTCTAATATAAAGGAAAAATGCAAATATACAGAGCTCGGCTGATAAATGAAGCGCCCCTCCAATACAGTGGTCAAAGTTTGCTCCCCTCCTCCCTCTATGTTCATGCTGAACCCCAATCTCCTTGTTACTGGTCTCTTTCTAATGGATTGAATCTTGGGTTGGTAAAAGCTCTATCATTTCATATCACCCCCAGTAAGTGTACCCAATTCTAGAAGCTGCGTACCTGATGGTTAGTCCTATCCACTGTGTTGGCCGTGGAGGGGTGGTCTCTAGTGTTCTGACGAATTCGAGTGGAGTTCTGCTGCTCAATGGTGGAGGAAGTTGGGATACAGAACTCTCTGAAGCATCGTTTGAAGTTTTCATCCAGAAATGCGTAAAGGACTGGGTTCAGGCAGCTGTTTGTGTAACCTAGAGCAATGCAGAAGTGCCAGGAAACAGTCTGAAAAGTAGTTTCTGGGATTGTGATCAAGGCTTTAATGATGACGTAAATGTGAATGGGGGTCCAGCAGACGATGAACACAGCTACGACCACCAGCACCATCCTGGTGATTCTCCGAAGATTCCTGTCCTTTTCTTTGGAGCCAGAGAGCATACGGACACTCTTGAGGCGTAAGATCATTAGGCCGTAGCACACCGTAATGATGAGGACAGGCATGATGAAGGCGAAGATGAAAACACAGATTTTCAGCAGGTTTTCCCAGTACCAGGCTGGGTGAGAGAATGTTAGTGTGCAATCTACGGAACCTAGATGAAAAAAAAAATTACAAGGAAGAATTAGAAGCACCATTTAATTATGACAGTAGGTATTAACATTGTCATCTTGCTTACTAATTTTTAAGCTTGACCTTAGCTAACGTAAGTCTATTAGTATACATGCTAGTAAAGAAGTATTTCAAGAAATGGTGGGAGAAACTCAGCTCTCTGTTGATTTTCAGAAATAGTTTCATTTATTTATTTATTTATTTATTTATTTATTTATTTATTTCTAAAGATCTCATTTTGCTGTCCACTTTGGTCACATTAATTTTCATTCAGCCAACAATTACGGACTTCCAACTATGAGCTATGTCCTCTACGGGGTCTATGTTGATATACAAAATATAATCACTGTCCAAAGTCTATAGGACATTACAGCTAATGGATGTTTTCACTCCACTTTTTGATGGGTGGTTTATCATTCTGACATGAGGTCTAGAAAGATACATGTTTTTATGAAATTATAAAACAAGCCTCTGCTTGCTTTGGGTTTCAGTTGTAATTACTCTTGGAAGAACTGTATTTTTTTAAAAATATATTTTATTGATTTTTTACAGAGAGGAAGGGAGAGAGATAGAGAGTTAGAAACATCAATGAAAGAGAAACATCGACCAGCTGCCTCCTGCACATCTCCCACTGGGGATATGCCCGCAACCAAGGTACATGTCCTTGACAGGAATCGAACCTGGGACCCTTCAGTCCGCAGGCCGACACTCTACCCACTGAGCCAAACCTGTTAGGGCTGTATTTTTATTTTCTCATCGTTTTGATGAAATGCAGAGACCTCCAGAACCAATAGATTATATTCTCTTTGGAATGTTTAGTGGGCTTAAAATCATAGGGAAAATTCCCATTTCAAAAATTATTCAAAGGCATTTTTCTAGAAAACAATTTTATTAAAATCACAGTTTGACTAAGACATTGGAACACTCCAAAAAATTCTAGTTGGCTTATGACTTCACCAACATTTGGTTCAATAAACTCTCCATCCCTCAGGCCTGCAACATCACTCACCATGCCTGTACTTTGTTGTCGCCATGAACATCACAGGCAGGCCGATGGCTGAAGAGAGGATCCAGTTGCAGACATTGATGATTTTGGCATTGCGGGGAGTACGGAAATCCAGGGCCTTGACGGGGTGGCAGACGGCGATGTAGCGATCCACGCTCATGGTACAGAGCGTGAATATGCTGGTGAACATGTTATAGTAGTCTATGGAGATCACTATCTTGCAGAGGACAGTTCCAAACGGCCATGTTCCCATGAGGTAATTGACACTCTGGAATGGCAGGGTACTGGTCGCCAAGGCATCGGCCAGAGCGAGGTTAAAGATATAGATGTTGGTGGCCGTCTTCATTTTGGTGTATCTAGAAAATGAAGGAAGAGCAGAGGCTGAGTCAGAAACAGACAGCAATGTGAAATACTGGCACACTTCCAATAATTAAAAAACAAACTGCAAGGATTAGCGGAAAGCATTTGAGATTCATTATGGAAGAACTGTTTTCTTAGAGAGGGAGAGAGAGAGATAGAAACATCAATGATGAAGGAGAATCAACCTGGGCATGTGTCATTATCAGGAATTGAACCATGACCTCTTGGTTCGTAGATCGATGCTCAACCACTGAGCCATGCTGGCCGGGCAAAACAGCATGGCTAATATTAGATTGGCTATTTATAGCCATGTGCCTATAGGCTAAATATATAATTTCTCTATCAGTTTTCTTACCTATAAAATGGTTATGATAATAGGTATCATACTGATTTATTTGTAATGGGCCAGGCACAGGTAGCTCTCAGTCAAGTATCCAGACACTGGATAATAATTCATTTTAATTCTAAATATATATAAAATTCAGATTTTTGTAGTTAAAATTGTGGAGCATGGGGTGAGAACATGTCCTTATGTCCATCCATGTGCCACTTCTCTGGAAATGAAAGATGCTTCCATTATGGCTAAGAGACTTTGCCTAACCATCTTTAACTTATACTTTTAGGAAGTGCTTATTTCCTGCTTTATTTGACTTCTGCTCATTCTACTTTAGGACATGAATAGCATTTCTTTGATCAGAAGTTTATATCAAATCATGTTTTGCTTTCTTGATTCCTGTATTCCGGTATAACTAATATTTATGTCTCATAGACATATATTACTAGGCTAAATCCTTTGATGTATATAAACCATTATAGTAGGCTGGAATAGTCTTATTCGTGACTTTAGATCTTTGTTTGCAGATATGTAGATTATTCATCTCTTTAGACCAAATGACTTCAAAAACAGCATTAGAACATCTGTCTCAGGAGATAGTACATTTGGGTTCATAGATAAAGATGTTCTGTATTTCTTATAAATACTTAGTTTCTAGAGCTTAGAAATTATTTGCTTTCAAAATTGAGAGTTCTAAAAGAAAATGAAATTTCTTCTATTTTTAAAATCTAGTAGTTGTGTATGTAAAAAAAGTCATGTGTACATAACGTCAAATAATGTTATATCCCTAGGTATTTCTTATATATATTGAAAGAACAACAATGAAAATGACTTCAAAATAGGATAAAATAATTTTACCAATATTAATATTAGAAAATTGTTTTTTGAAGAAACCTGAGCATATGTTGTAGATTACAAATATTTTAGAGGGCATAGTCAGTAAAATTATTATCTATTGTACTTAGTACAATAAATATAAAGCTTTATCTATATTTTTGGTGATGATATTATACATATAATCACTCAATATAAGTAAAATATAAAAGACAGCATGAATATAAAAGTTAAACGAAATAAAGATAGAATTGGATTATCCATTTGGCACAGAGCCCAGCACAAGATGAATACAGTAAATGCTTGTTGAGTAGAATTAAATGTAGGAGGAAGGGTTTGGGTGACTTTATTTTTTTTAATGGTATAATGAAACAAACTTTAACAAAGGAAATCTGAAGCTTTTGAAGTAAAAGTGAATGGAAAATTCCTTTTGGCCTTGTCAACTTGTTGTTAAATTAAAAAAGAACTTTGGTCATAGAAGGTCATGAATGATGAGAAGTAGGATCAGGAAGGAGCTTTGAAGACCACATTGCGTGGCTACCTTGCATCATGGCTAGAGAACCTGAGGGACAGAGAGCTGTGCAAACATTTGAGATTTTCTCCCGTTTTTCTAGATTCCATCTAAAACTAAAAATATGCCTCTATGCTGTATGCTGGGCCATGTGTAATTTTGGGAGTGCATTTCTGAAAATGTTGTAGTTTGTCCCAGAAATACTCAGCCCACTGTTAGCTAAAACAAGGTAAGCATGCAAAGCTTTTTCATATTCTTTTCAAAGATGCCCATGCCAGGGCCATTGGAAATCCCGAGACTTAAAAAATAAAAATCCAATGTTGTAGCAGAATTATATTTTTTTAGAGGAGTGTTGAGTTTGTTCCATTTTTGTTTAACTCTCTAATAATCCATAGTTTAATACTATCAACTCTAGGACTCACAGTCCATCTCTTCAGTTCTTTGACTGCCGTTCCAACTTTCTTTTGAACATCTGCGCCTGCTATTGGCTTCTCAAATGCAACACTTCCCGAAGTGTGTTTTTCCTTTCTCATACATATCACCACGATCGGTGACAGCAAAATAATCAGTAACAATTGTTGGAGCCAGGATTCAAGCCCAGATTATTTGTGGGTCATTAGCTACAATGCTTTGCTAGTTAATAACCATCTCTTATTATGTTCTATTTGCTTCTTGTTTCACGAAATAATTTCTTTCATCCCCTGCAGATGTTAAATATGTTATTTTAAAGTCCTTGTATGATTGCTATTTAATTCTGTTTCTTTGAGTGTAAATTCTCTTGTTTGTTGTGTCCTCCCCCAATGTCTTTCATGGTATAGTCATTCATTCACAATCCGATTATATTGATTTTGAGTTGACCTTGAAGTGAAGATGCCTTGGTAGATTGCTCGCTGTTTCTGCTATGTGGGTTGACCGAGACGGGAGCTGCAATTAGACTGCACCATACAGTTTCCAGTAAGAGCAGAGGACAGCATGGGCTTGAGGAAGATACCGTGCACTGGTGGCTGCCTTTTAATCCTCCAGAGCATTGCTGGTCTCCTAGGTATAGCCAGTATCTCTGCCCCAAGCACTGCACCAGTTTTTAAATGGACATTGTGTGGCCTTTCTGTGTCACCTGTAGACTGGAAAACACACCAGCGGCAACTGACAAGGCTGCCACTACTGTGGAAATCCACTCCGTTGTGGAAAACCCTCCTTATGAACTCATATTTCATGAATGAAGTCATCAATGACCCTAACACTCTTGACCTGCCTCTGTTGCATCATTCACTTCTTTCAAAAGGAGAAGGAATGGCTTTTATGTTTATATGTTAAGGTTGAAGAATAGGATATACACCGTTCTGTCCCTTCCATGGTCTCTTCCTAAGGTTCAGCTGCCCAAAGGAAACACATATTGTAGCCAACTATTCCAGGTAGTAAGTTTTAAAGGGACTGGTCCCCATATTAGGAGGTTAGCTGTGGTCCAGGTCTGTGACTAGATGTGTTTGTGTATTCATTCTGGGATTAGAATTAGGAAGCTATTATAACTGCACAGCTAAGTCACAACCACCAGCAAAGTATTTGCCAACAATAAAGATGATGTATTTTTTTCTATCTGCTGATTCATTTCATCTTCTCTCTCAATTTGTCCAAACATCAGCAGGGGAAGAAGGAGTGACATTTCATAGGATCCTTTAAACATTCAGACTGCCTACCAAGAATTTCCCCATCATTTTCATAAATTTGTGTATGGCTTTTCATTGATTTATTTCTTTAATTTGTTTTCTTTAAAAAATAATTTCTAAAAGTTGTTCTAGAGTTTGTTCTCAATCAGCCATCCTGAAAATGATACATTGCATAGGAATATCTTTAAACAAGGTTTTAGTTTGAGTATTGTATAAAAGCATATCTGGCACTCTTAATGAACTTGAGAATAACTTTCAACCTTTAGCATGATTGCACATGAAATCTTAGTCTTGTGTAATAAATGTGACAATTATATTGAAATCATGTTTTGTCTTTTGGTCTGTAAGCTTCTGGAGTATAGAGACCATGATCAGTCTGTACTCTGCTGCCTGCTTGGCTGAGCGACATGATGAGTCCTTCTGACCCTAAGCCTGCAACTAGATATCTCTTTAAATACGACATTCCTGTTCATCTCGTAGAAATGCTTTCTGCTTTCCTGTCTCATGTCATCTTACTACTCCCCACATTGATTCCCATTATTGTCTCCCTCTATTGGCAGAGGAGAAGAGAGGATGGCATGTACTGTAATAGTAGTGAGGTTGTGTAATGGTGAGAAAGAAAAAAGCTCCTGAGAGCTTTTGGGGAGCCAGTTTAGTTGCTAACAGCCAGGCTGTGGTATTCATTTATGGAACATAATTCTTTAGAGTATCAACTTCAGATGAGGACTTTCCATGACTGTGGTGCAACAAGCCAAAAGACGTCTCTATAACCAGACCTGACCAGAGGTAAAACCAAATCACCTGAACCACAAAAATGCCCAGCCTCTTTCTCTCCTGGTTAACATGAGGGATCCACCACTTCTTATTCAATGACTAGAGGCCTGGTGCATGAAATTCGTGCACTCGGGGGCAAAGTAGCGGGGGACCCTCAGCCCGGATTGCGAAAGGGCACAGGCTAGGCTGAGGGATCCCACCGGTGCATGATCGGGGCTGGGGAGGGACCGCGGGAGGGCTCCAGGGTGTGTCCGGCCCATCTCTCTCAGTCCCAATCAGCCTGACCCCAGCAGCAAGCTAACCTACCAGTCAGAGCATCTGCCCCCTGGTGGTCAGTGCATGTCATAGCGACCCATCATAGCAAACAGTTGAGCAGCCTTAGCATTTCATTAGCATATTACACTTTGATTGGCTGAATGGCTGACCAGATGATTGGACACTTAGCATATTAGACTTTTGTTATATAGGATGATTCTAGCCTTACTCTGCTAATTCAGCCTCTAGATGATTCTAGCCTTACTCTGCTAATTCAGCCTCTAGATAAGAAATTATTGGTGCCCATGTGTCAAATGACTCTTGCTTTGAGTAATACCCTATTTAGACAAATCTCTGCTTCCTTGAATCTTCTCCTTAATCACCAAACATAAACTAAAATCCTGGTGGGGTCCCCTCTCCCCTCCTGAAGCAAGCTTAATAAGCCTAGTAGTTTGAGCTCCAAGTCTATTCCTCGTGGATTTTGGCTGGTGAGCATGGGTAGCAGAGTGTCGTTGGATCCTGAGGTTGTCCCAGCAGCAGCAGGCCAGCAGCAATTAGCAATTGGAAGGAAGCCGTGGGAATTTTCCGGTGATGTCCACAGATGGGTACAGGCCACTTGGGGAG